AGATATTCTCTGCACATAGAAACAAACAAGTCTACATTTCTCTCAGAATAATCTTTTTTTTTTTGAGACAGAGTCTTCCTCTGTCACCCAGGCTGGAGTGCAGTTGCACAATCTCAGCTCACTGCAATCTCTGCCTCCCAGGTTCAAGCAATTCTCCTGCCTTAGCCTCCCGAGACCTGCCACCAGGCCCGTCTAACTTTTCATTTTTAGTAGAGACAGGATCTCACCTGTTAGCCAGGCTGGTCTCAAACTCCTAGCCTCAGGTGATCCGCCTGCCTCAGCCTCCCAAAGTGCTGGGATTACAGGTGTGAGCCACTGCGCCTGGCCAGAATAGTCTTTTAAAAATGCAAATCTGACCATAGTTTTCCCAGTTTGAAACCTTTAAGTGCTTTCCATTACAAACTTTTGATTGTTTAGCATCCTGCTTTGGTGACCTCCTTGCCTTTCCTCTCTCTTACCACCCTCCAGTCCTGCTAATCTTTCACTTCAGAGACAACCGCCCTCCCCACTGGGTTCTTTCCTGACTTGGTTGTGTTTACCTATGCTGTTCCCTCTGCCTGAAAACTTTCCCCCCAGATCTGTACATGCCAATTCCTTCCTTTAATGTTCTCTCTTTAGAGAATGTGCTGTTCTTATCATTCTCTATTATTGCCCTCCCTTTGTCACCTTCAGTCCCTACCTCCTTACAATGGCTATGGCTAAGTAAGTAGTCATTATATATTTCTTGATATGTTTGCCTCTTTATTGATCATCTCCCATGTTACACTATAAGTTCCATGAGAATAGAAATGGACTTTTTTTTTAACCATTCCCTGGATTCCTAGCCCCTAGTTCTGTGTCTATTACAAAGTAGGTACACATTATGCATTTGATGAATGCATGAATGAGGAACTGCTGGAAAATCCTGTACCCTGGGGTGGAAGTGCGGGTTGGAAGATGAAACTAAAAAGAGAAACCTGCCTTTACTATTGAAGCAGGCAAATTTGGCCTCCATATCATTTCTCCCCTGGGTGTGGGTTTTTATACCAGGCCTTCTTACACCATGTGGCTGACTCTGTCTCTGGTTAGGCCAGCCACTTACTATGCAGAAGAAAGGCTAAGGAAAAAAAGAGTGGAGAATCACTCCCAGACTCTCAAGCCCTTTAATTCTTTGGGAGAAGGTGGCAGTAAGCATGCAGTGCTCATTTGCCACAGCCTGTATTTTGTTGTAAACATTTGATAACTGGTTTAAGCAGAAATATTGGGCAATCACTCCTTGCTTTGTTTTAGGGACCAAAATTTTCTTTATTACAAGCAAGAAAAACTAGAAGAAACAGTGACTCCCACATAGAAACAGTAACGCGTCTATAAGGAAATGGTAACTCCACAATCTCAAATCAATATCTACTTCTACCTTATATGTTTTTAAATAGCACATATTTCTGTTTCTACTCATAAAAGTAGTGCTTCATATAATTATAAATAATAGAATATCAAAATTATCTTTAAAGAATAAATTATGAAAATAAAAATCACATTCATGGAACAAGCCTTTTATTTCTAAATCACAAAAGTTAGTATGTCTGCTTTCGCCTCTTTACTGTCTCTGGAAACTAAAAAACAAAAGCCTCATTCATCTCTAATTTCACCTTCTGAATTTATTTCTAGATACCTAGATCACGTGAATGGATTAGCAAGGTAATGTAACCCAGCCATTTGCCTTCATCTCTTACCGCACTGGAGGATAAAACCCAAGCTCCTTGTGTAGTATATAGGACTTCTCATTAGCTGGCCCCAGGCCACATTCCAGCCTCATTTCTTACCACTTTCTTCCCTTACCCACTTAACTGGGAACTTACTGGAGAAAGGTCATGGGCTCATGTGTGTGTTCTAAAGGTCTAGACCTCTCTTAAACAATCAAATACTCCCGGGCTCATGTGTGTGTTCTAAAGGTCTAGACCTCTCTTACTCAATCAAATACTCCCGGGTCAGGGAATAGGAAGATGTCTAGACCTCCTTCTTTTGTACATGCCATAGGCTTGAGGGAATGGGTAAATGACCCTGCTGTGCTGGTTCACTACACACTGATAAGCTAGGAAGTGAATTCAGCTGGAGAGAGTAGGCTCAACTACTTTGGTCAACATGTGGAAATAAGAACCGTCCTCAAGTGTTGGGCAGTGCCACTAGTTTACAAATACTTTGATGAGAACATACCTGTTCTTCCTTCTGAAGAGTCTCTCCCAACTTGCAGCACTGGCTGGCCAAGGACTTGTAAAATTCTTTCATATCTAAAAGGTGACCTTTACATGCTCCCTAGTACTGCCTAGAGCTCCTCAATGACTGAGGTGGCTGTGGGCAAAACTGAAATTGCAGAGGAAGAATATGTCCTCATTGGAGGCTCACCAGAAGTCATTGCGAATGAATTCTACAACAGAATATTCAGTGTTCAACTTACCCTGACTATAGGAAGTCTAATATCAGAGCTACTCCTCCAATTCAGAATGTCCTTGTTCACCCATAAGACTGGGAATGGTGTCAGGAGGAGAGGTATATCTGCACTTGGAGTACATTTTTGAAAGCGTCCCCAGAAAGAGTCTTGTGCTGATGGCATAGTTAAGATTCTTGATTGTGGTGGTGTTTACACAAAGCTATACATGGGATAAAATTGCATAGAGCCCCCCAACACACACACACACACGCGCACATGTGAGTCCATGTATAACTGGTGAAATGTGAATAAGGTCTATGGTTTATACCAATGCCAATTTCCTGTTGTTGGTTTTTTTAAATTGCTCTGTAGCTATGCAAGATGTTAACACTGTGGGAGGCTGGGTGAGGGGTGCATGGGAATCTTGCCATATATTTCTTTGCAAATTCCTGTGCATCTGTAATTCAAAATAAAAAGTTTTAAAGGATGTGGGAGGGGACTTAGAGTATTAGAGCACTTGATCTAAAACAAGGCTTTGGGAATGGCCTTGAAACTAGAAGACCTTATGCAAAAACAGTACCTCTATGTTCAGGCCCAAAAATGTTCCTGAAGAAAAGGATGAAGTGGGGTAACTAGGTCGGCATATTCAAAATGGGTATAGATGGTGTTAAGAGGGCCTTTAACGCCCTGATGCTCTGTTAACATACAAGTGAATTCCCAGCTCCTTTTCTGGAGACCAATAGGTAAGGCAGACAGGCAAGCAGGTGAGCTGTCACAGTAAGTCTTTGGAATAGGCCTGAAAGCTTGGGAAACTCTGACTGTCTTATGTACTTAATGACTGCCATTCTCAAATTATGTTAACCTTACTCAGCATCACTGACTTTAGCTGAATGCATTCATCCAACAATATTTATTGCCCCCCTACTGTGTGTCTGGCAATCTTTACTCTTCTGAATACTTGGGATATGTCCAGGAACAAAACAAAGAACGCTGCCTTGGTGGAGCTTATGTTCTAGTATAAGGGAAGAGTCAGGAAGAGAAACGTAATAAGTGAATTACAGAGCACACTAGAAGCCGATATTAATAAAAAGAGTTGGGTGAGGGGGATAAAGAATTCAGAAGATGGTGTGGCATGTGGAGGGGGGGAGTGTTGCTCAATTCTCTGAGTTCTTAGAGGATATGATTATACTGAAATCAATCCTATATTTGAATTTTCTTTTCCCACTCTGAAATTCTCTGCCCCACCATTCCTTTCTACTTCTTCTTGGTCTCTCTCTTCCCTCCACCTTTTATTTTACCTTTCTCTTCATCTTTCTTCCTTTAATTTTTCCTTTCTTACTTCTCTTCCTTCCCTGTCATTCTTTTTCTCTGTGGCTCTCTTACCTTTATGTCTCTCTTACTTCCCCGGCTAACCTTCCTTTCCTTCTCCCCTCATTATTTCTATTTTTTCTCTCTCTCATTCTTTTCCTAGCTGTTTGTCATTACGTGGCCTTGTTACTGAACTCAACTTCATATGGTTTAATTAAAGTTCATGTGGCTTTTTTTACCCTGTTAAATTGTTTGCATGATAAATGCTATTCTAACTGAAACCAAACTGTCTTTAAACTTTCTTATCTAACCTGATGCAAATGGAAAATAACTCTAATTTCACTAATTGTCACCTCATAGATCTAAGCCCCAGAGAGAGGAACCCCCACCCCCAAACATTTCTGGAACATGCAAGGATGCCTCACAAGAATGTTCATAGCAACCCTATTCATGAAAGCCAAAAACTGGAAACAGCACAAATATCCACGAACAGTAAGATGAATAAATAAGTGCTGGTAAATTCTACAATGGAATGAATACTACACAGCAGGGAGAATGAATGAATGATTGCTGTATGCAATAACATGGATGAATCTCGTGATTTTAATGTTGAGTGAAAGAGGACAGACACAAAAGGGAAAAAAGAAATAATCTTTGATTCTATTTCTATGCAGTTCAAAAAAACAGATTTTAGAAGTCAGGACAGTAATTGCCCTTTGAGGCAACGAGCTAAGAGGGAGCATGAGAGAGCTTATGTGGTTCTGGTTGCATTCTGCTTGTTGATCTGGGCACAGGCCACCCCGGTGTGCTTATTTTGTGAAATTTCTGCAAGCAGTACACTGTGATTTGTATCCTTTTTTTTTTAGGTATGCTGTGCCAGAATGAAAAGTTTGCTTAAAATAATAAAAAAAACCATTGCACAAAATAAACTGGAAATATTTGGATAAGAATGACAAAGTTTCACTGTGATATTTGTGAGTAATATTGTTTATTGCACTGATAAATCTACAAAAAGAAATTAGAGACAAATGGAATTGGAGCTATAAGGAATATCTTATAATGATGACTGATAAGAGCAACGACAAACTTAGAATGAAGTCTTTTTATTTATTTATTTATTTTTAGAGACAGGCTCTTGCTGTGTGGCCCAGGCTGAGCCTCTAACTCCTGGGCTCAGGGGATCCTTCTGCCTTCCAAGGAGCTGAGACTACAAGTGCAAGCACCACTGCTCCTGGCACATTCCCTGTTATATTTAACAGTTTTGTTCAGAAAGGACACATCTGGGTAGTTTAAAAGACAACTTTACGTTTATTTTCAAATGTGCGCAAATATTTTCAAATGCACATGATTTTATTTTTTAATTTATTAAAACTCATATACGATACTTCAATCTTATCCTTTAGGTTAAAAATATGATGAAAGACAGCTTTAATTTCAAGTGAAATTGCCATTGACAATACAAAGCTAAAAGTATGCTTACTATTCACAAAATACATAGAAGAGACAATATTCCTACAATGTGCTTGGAAAACAAGTCACACTGTGGTCTTATATCATCACAAATTAGCCCAGAATTTACAAACTCTAACTCTGTTTTAAAACATAACTTTGGTATTTCCTTCAAAAAAGTGAGCAGTGCATATTTCCTTTATTGAACAAAAGTATTCATTTTCTGCAAGACTATTACATTCACTCTTTAGAGAGATGATTTGTTGCCATTTTAAGCAGGTAGTGCTACGAAAATGAGACAACATTATAATCCTAGTTATGCTGTAACCAGATTTATAACCAGAACTCAGTATCAACCAATTTGTATGATCATTAATCATATTCTTTCTGAAATAAACACATTGTTTCTGGTTGTATTTCAGAAGGAAAACAGAGAAGCCATGCTACCTTTGGGCAGGGGTGACTACGGGACTTGAGTGTGTACAAATTTTGGTAAATGCAGGGGTCCTGGAATCCATCCCTGGAGTATACCAAAGGATGATGTAGTTTTCAGTCAAGCAAGACATTCTCAATTGAGGACCTCGGTATTATTTTTCTTTAGAAATGAAATACAACTTCATTCACTCTAGTGTGAAATATATGGGAGAAGTCCCCAAAACCAAAGCCTGTGCTATATATAATACCTAGAAAATTTGTTGCCACTCAGAAAAAAAATAAAATAAAAGATATAAAAAATCAGACTTAAAATATGGATTTTTTAAAAAACCTATATATTTTCAGTATGTACATTCCAAATGAATGTTTTTATATTGAGTTCATTTAGAATCCTTTGCTTTGTCTTTAAAAATTCACTTTAAACATAGACTACTATAGGCAGTTCAATTTTTTTTAAAAAGTGGTCAGAGTTTAAAGATTATTTACTTTACCTACTGCTAAAATTTTTGAGAAAAAATATAAATTCATTTTAATCACCATGGTTATATAAACACATCAAAAAAAATTTTTTATTCAAAATAGCACTGTTTTTATGTCAGATTTTAAATAGACTTTACCATCCATGCAATGGTCATTTCTATAGACTGAGATAATTAAAACTGCACTTTTAAACAAAATAACCTGTCATTTTTTAATCTCAGTTGTGATCCATGATTATCATATCAAAAAAATGATTTTTGTAAACATGAACATTTCTTTATTATTTCATTCATTTGTATCACTGTTTCTAAAATATATTGGCCTGGTTCTGTAGCTTTTAAGTAAACCATTTCCAGGATCAAAGAGATCCTAAATTCTGGTTATATGTAATAACACTTCATTATTAGGTACCAAGTAAATTTGCATTTTTAAAACTCTGACTTACTATCCCAAGTAATTTTCAAAGACTTTTATTGATAAATGCATTAATAATTTTATTTCAGCATTTACTAAATGTGAACTTACGTGGTGATCAGTGGAACTCATGGATATCCAAGTCAGTCAAAAACTGATTTTTCTTTATGATTAATTATTCCTGACTCACCTGACTCCTGACCACAGAGGCTGTTGGGTCAACACTCACTCTAACTGAACAGAGATATGCCAGTACCCACGTGAACATTATTAGCAATACTGTGATGCTGATCAGCAGCATATTATAACACCAGCTTATCCTGAACGCTGCCAAATCATCTGGGTAATTCTCAACATTTTGTACATGTCAGGGGTAAGATGTTTATTTTACAAATAGAGCTTAGAAACAGTCTTAGTGCTTCTCTTTCAATGTCTAAGGGGTTAAAACAAATGAAAGATTTATAAAAATGTAATAGAAAAAAGAATGAGTGTTTCAAGTCTGAAGAAATAGTCAATACAGAAAACGTTTGCATAGAAGGACATTAGTGGGTACGTTTTGTCTTGCAGTCCTTGCTCATAGAGACCTCCTGAGCCTGCTTTCAGGTTGCAAGTGTACGCATAGCCTGTGGAAGCAAGGGGAAAACCAAGTGTTGATATGACCGAATTCTCCTTAAGGCTACATTGTCTTTTTTACAAATGCTTTTATAGCACTGGTTGCTTACTGTTATTCATCTTAGGTGTATGTCATCACAATAGAAATAGGGTAAAACTTATTTTTTTTTTAAATTTGAGATGGAATCTCACTCACTGTTGCCCAGGCTGGAGTGCTGTGGCACGATCTCGGCTCATTGCAACCTCCACCTCTCGGGTTCAAGCAGTTCTCCTGCCTCAGTCTCCTCAATAGCTGGGATTACAAGTACCTGCCACCATGCCCAGCTAATTTTTGTGCGTGTGTGTATTTTTAGTACAGATGGGGTTTTATCATGTTGGTCAGGCCCGTCTCAAACTCCTGACCTCAAGCGATCCACCCCCTTGGCCTCCCAAAGTGCTGGGATTACAGGCTTGCACCACCGAGCCTGGCCTGTATTCATCATACCTTAACTGGATTTCTTTAAGAGCAATGATTACTATTTATTAAGCACTTACTATGAACAAGGCACTGCTCTTGTTACTTTACATGCATCTTTTAATTTTCACAACTCTGTGGTATTACTACTACTTTACATAAAGATGCTAAAATGAAGACAGGATAAGTAATTTGCCCTGGGCTGCACAACCAGTGACTAGCAGAATTAGGACTAGCACCAGGTCTGTCTGGCTCTAAAGTCCATGCCCTTGAGACCACTGTCCTATATTGTTTCACTATTTATAGAAACCCTCCCTCAATGATTCTTTTATGTGGCAATCAATAAATATCCTATAATATAGCAGTCTCAAGTTCTAATTTTGACATATGAGTTTTTACATAAACTAAGGCTGCCCTATATCCATAGAGTCTTAGAGCTAGAAGGACTTCTCAGGTCAATAATCACTTTCCTGTCTCACTAAGCTGGTGGGCCAAGATGCAGGTACTGTGAGTTTCACTCAAGCAATGTATTTCCTCCACAAAAATCTCTGCCTGTCATCCTTACTGCCTGCTTTCACTACAGGGGGTTGAATGTTTTTCTATGCAACATTTTTACAAGACCTAGAAAAAGGGAGAGAAGGCAGGCTGATCAGATTTGATTATGACACCAAGTTGGGGTTAGGAGGGTAGAAAATATCCTGAATGATAGATTCAACACAAAAACTGGCCAGTGCGGTGGCTCATGCTTGTAATCCCAGCACTCTGGGAGGTAGAGGAGGGTGGATTACTTGAGGTCAGGAGTTTGAGACCAGCCTGGCCAACATAGCAAAACTCCGTCTCTACTAAAAATACAAAAAAAAAAAAAAATTTATCTGGGCATGGTAGTGGGTGCCTATAATCCCAGCTACTTGGGAGGCTGAGGCACGGGTAAGAATCTCTTGAACCCAGGAGGCAGAGGTTGCAGTGAGCTGAGATTGTGCCACTGCACTCCAGTCCAGGTGACAGAGTAAGACTCCATCTCAAAAAAATAGCAATAATAATACAAAACTGTGTCAGTAAACAAGAAACAACAAGATGCAATCTAGCAGAAATAGGTGCAGTTCTACATTAGTGTCAGAACCCAATTAAACAAATATAAGTAGGGAGCTCTTCTAGGCCATAGTTTGTATGAAAATGCCTGAGTCTTTAGTTGGCCCCTGCTCAATAAAAGCCAAACTTCTAATGTTGC